AGAGCAGGCCTAATCAGTGACCAGAGGTGCACAGAAACAATTTCCTTTGGTAGGTCTGTGCCAACTAGCACTGGCATATACAGTAAGCTGAAGTATAAGATTATGAAAATGTGGGAGCTCCTGTCCATCAAGCTCCAAGGGATTAGGCAAGCAGAGACCAAGATCCAGGTTCTGAATGCCTAAAGATATCTACATACCATATTTGTACAGCCTGGGGCAGTAAAGAGGAGGTCTAAGTTTCAAATTTTGTTTATAATGAAATAGAATGCTTCATAATAAGACACAATGAGGGATATAATGAGAGAAATCTGCAAAATTCTCATTTCTCTTGCAAGGATTACTTACATGAATTTTTAAGAAGGTCCCCAAAAATTCCACCTGAATGGCCACATTACTGAATGTATACCCAAACTCACCTAAACTCTGACCCAATTAGATGCATCAGAGAGACTGGGAGAAACAAACATGAATTTTTTTGCAAGGTTTTAATCTTCTCCAAACACTGAAATATTGTTGAGATGTTTTATCTTCCATTGCACACAGAGGAGATTAAAAAGCCATGATAAATGGCATACTCTCCAGGAGGGAATGCCATATATAGGGCAATACATAATTTCTTGCTTCTGGTACCATTCGGGATAATTGTCCTGATAACGTGAAAACAGGAGGGATATTAATTTAAGATTAAAGCACAATTATAAGCTCTGTCATACTGTTAATTTCTTTTAAATGTTCCTCTGAATAATTCTACCTTTGCAAGATGGAATAAGCACACAATTAAAAACTGCATTAAATAAATGAATAACTAATTAATGAATAAAAAGAACTCTGAAAATAAAATGGGTCATGCAAATTCTAAACAATAATTTTAACAGCAGGCCAGATCTTAATCCTTCAGCTCTTTGAAGGAATAGTGTCTAACTGTGGATAGATAGCATCTTTCTCTCAATTTAGCTCTCAGATGGCTATGTTCTTCATTTACACACTGTCCAGTAAAAGCTGTAGGTGAAATCTGTAGTCAGGAGCTGCATAATTACCCTTGCTCAATGCAATTCTAACTCTCCAAACGTAACACCATCTCCTCCTCCATACAGCCTGTAGTTCTACACTTTCCTTTGTCCTCCAGCCAGAAATTCTACCAGGTTGATTATGACAATGATTAGGAACTCCATTAAAAAATGCAAATATACCTCTGAAGCTTAAAGGTAGATCATTCATTAGCACCTTGATATGCATCAATTTAATCAGATTTTTTTCCTCCCAACACCAAATGGAGGCTAGACTTTTCGGGGAGTGCAATGTATGAAAGAGAAAGGGTAATTTTGCAGCAAAGGGCTGAGAAAGTACAATCTCCTAGTGCAGGAACCTTCTGTGAAATGATAGAAATGTTAAGACTATCTGACTCCATAATAAGTCCCCTGACCACAAGCAAGCTAAGACTTTGGGGATGAGCCATATAGATAAGGGGGAAAGAGAGGGTGTTAGAATCAAAGATTTCCTCCTATGTACCAAATGAAGGCCTGTATTTTTGCCAGTAAGTAAATAGGGAACCACATAGATGGAGGAGGCTGCCACACTAGCTTCTATCTTCTAGTGCTTCTATCTTCCTGCCTGAGCCAGCACAATACTACTGTGGAAGCCCTCAAGGAAATAAAAATAAGAGTCTACACAAGCTTTCACTCTCCATAGTCTGGGATGAGCTTCACCCATGAAGGAACCGACAGAGGAACCCAGGTATGCGGGATGCGGGACCCAGGGCTGAGATCTCCAAGCCTGCTTTGTTTGGGACTGCGCCTCCTCCACCCAGGTCCCCCATTTCCCAGTAGCTTGGCAGTCACACCCAAAACCGCCCCCCACCCACCGCCCCTAGCACCATGTAATCTCATCAACAGCCAAGGTCCAGAGACTATAAACAAAGTTTCCTGGAAGAGAACAACACAGAATTTTCTGTCCCTCTCAGAGAGCCCAGCAAACTACTGAGAATATCCAGCCCACATGGCAGAGCCTGGCAAGCTACCCATGGCATATTCGATATGCCATAAATAGTAAGAATAACGAGCCTCATTCCCCTGACCCTGAAAGAGCCTCCAATCGTTGGGAAAGACGAGTAAGGAGAGGCTGCTAAAATCTCAGGGCTGGGATGAATGGAGACATTACTGGTGCCTGCTCAAGTAAATTGATGAAAAACGGGACAACGGTGATACAGTGATACACAAGCTTCCACATGGTATGAACATTGAATTCCTGGCCTCCAACCCAGAATCCAAAGTTACTTGTCTAAAGGGTGGAAGGAAGGTGACTGTGGTGGTGAAATTGATGTTGGAATATTGAATGCCTGTAACAAAGCATGATGAACAGCTTTGTAAACCACAGTGTTTAAATAAAGTTTGGGGGGGTTGAGGGGGGAAAATTAGTCATTCTTATAGGGGGAAAAATCCCTCAATAAACCCATTAAAAAAAAGAAACAAAGTTCCTTGTCTATCTGTAGGGTGTGAGGAGACACAGTTTATGGTGCTCGGGGCTTATTCCTGGCTCTGCTCAGCGGTCATTCCAGAGTGATGCTCAGGATCAAATTGGTATGAGTGGTGTGCAAGGCAATTTCCTAACCCCTATATTCGCCACCTCTCTGCCCTGCCCCCTTGTCTATTCCTGTAGAAAGGAATTTTAGGGGAAGACAGTAAAGCAGTTTTAGAAAATGTGAGAGGAAGAGAGAGGAGGGAAGATTTGGGCTGTACAGATGACTCCAAAGTGAATAATACAAACTAAAAAAAAAAAAAACTATGTGCCCCAAATTGGGAAGGAAGCAATCTCTGAATGGAGATGTCAGGGGTTATTTTTGCAAAGATGGTTTTATAGACCTTTCCTAAACTACCTTAATTTGGGGCTTTTGTAGATACGAATTCTGCACTAGGACTTTGTCAAGGAAGAACACTGAATGGAAGGGATTATTGAAGGATGTGGAAGAGGGGTTTGGGCCACAGTCTGGTTCTCAGGTACTTTTCCTGGCTCATCCTCAAGAGTGACTGCTGACACTGCTCAGGAGATCATACATGGTGTCAAGTATTACAACCAGGAACATAACCACTGCAACCACATGCAAGGCAAGTGGTCCTTCATTCAGGTTTGTTAATGGTGGTTGTTTGTTTGGGTTTGGGGGCTGTGCTCAAAGCTAATTCTCGGTAGTGACAAAGACAGCTGCATGCAAAGTGCCTTAACCCTGTACTATCTCTCAGGATCCTTAAGACTCAGTCTTTGTAAAACTTTTGACTCTATATTTTATTTATTTAAAACAATATTTTTCTTGAGGCACTGTGATTTGCAAAGTTATTTATTACTGAGCTTCAGGCTAACACCAACCCTTCACCAGAAACCACTTCTCTCCACTGTTCTTATCAGTCTATATTTCTGCTGAATAGTCCCTTGATGGGTTCCATAGGTCCTCATCTTAGGGTCCCAATCTGGACCTAGGGGCTGACAAAAGTTTGAAATTTACTGCCTTGGACCTATTTTTGGACCTATTTTTGAACACCTATTTTTGGTATCATTGATTATATGTAAGTTATCAGTTGAAGAAACTGACTTATGGAATGTTGTTAATAACAACAAGGACCTCACAGTAAATTTGCAAATATGAGAGATGAAATCAAATGTTTGTCCATCTGAGTCCATGTTCTTTTAATCCTATTACGCTTTCTCATGGAAATTCACACTTTAGGATTGGTCCCATTTTCAAGATGAACAAAGCAAAGCTTTCAAAATTGAAAATGAACTTACCCAATAGTTCTAGGTATACGAACATTATTTAGTTTTTTTGTTTCATATTGCATGTTGGAATGGCAGGAAGTATAGCAGAAATAATTCAGGTGAAATGGGAACCAGGAAAACGCGAATGTATGATAATGCGTGAGTATGTATTAGGCAAAAATCCTCACCTTCCAAGCTCTATCAGGACGGTCTGACATTGAACTAAGTCAAGTTGCCAAACCTAGGAAAGAGTCCAAGTGATTTCTGATAGCTGTATTTGCCTTTCAAACAAGCATGCCCTAACGGCCATTGATAAGAGATGCAATTAACAGCTCTGTTATTATGAGCGAATTACCAACATAAAACCTTGCACTTATTTATATTATCACTTAATTCTGGGAAAGGCTTCTGATAACCCTTTCTTCAGATATGGGGGGGGGGGGAGAATTAGTACACTGGGGAAAAGGTCTATGAATCTACTCAAGGAACATTTCTATGAAGTCCACTTCAGACTTCATGAAGTCCAAGCCTCTGGCTCTCACTTGCCCAGTGAGACCCTAGAGGAAGCTTTCCACGGTCAGGAGCACACCAACACCCTGGCCTGACTGCCCAAGTTCTCCCCCACACATATCCCTTCAACCTGCTCCCCACCCCGCTGCCAGTCCCTTCAAGTTCTAAGAGCTATCTAGCACCATACTGTTTCAACTAGTCCCCCAGGTCCAGCTCAGTGCTCTCTGCTCCCTGACACCCCCCTCTCCTGGGGACTCCCCAACCCAGTTATCCCAACTACCCTGCACTGACCTGCCCTCCCCTATGTCCATCAAAACTCACTCAAAACCTTATATATGTTGTAAACGTGGGAGTCCTGGTTTCCAGGTTCTTATCCTTTCACAGGAATGTAATATCCGAGGAACAGAGGCACCACCATACACAAACCCACCACTCCAGGAATCTTTTGTCTCCCAAAGAAAGGACTTTATGAAAAACACAACATAATGAAAGCAAGCATTTTTTTGAGGTAGAGGAGGCAAGTGAAGGATGCTAGAACCCAGTTGGGATAAAGTTTTTATTTAAGGAAAAGAGAATAGCAAAGACCCTCCAAGTGCATAGGAGGTGGGGGGTCCACAGTGGTGGTCGGGGGTGCGGTGAGGTGTCGGTACCAACATTTTGTTTCCCTTCATTGTACAATTTATGGTTCCCACCTTTCCCATTCCCTCCCACTCTCCCCCTTAATATCTGGAGGCTGAGGTCCTTACCGTAGCTGGTCATGATTATGGGTTGCCATGGTAACTGCAAACTGTCCAGGGTGCCTGCTGATGGGCATGGTTTTTAATATGCTAAAGTATCATGATGATTGTGTAATGAGCTAGGACTCTCTCAGTGGTCACTAAGGGCTCACCTACAATTTCTCCCTCAGGTTGGAGCAAAGGGAAAGACCTTGCAGTGTGCCATAAAACTCCTGTGAAGTTTCTTTACTACCAAAAGTTATGGTTGGTTCCTAGTTTGGAGCCTTGCTGCCAGCAGCCTTTTAACATCACTAGCCCTTCTCCAGGCTCACCTGACCTCACACATACCATTTGCTCTCTACCTCCCTAACTAATATACCTCACTTTCATTATTTGGGGTGCACTGCCAGAGGCTGCAAGGGTGCCTTGCTCCCATCCATTTATGTGAGGTACCTGGTATCTAACGGAGAACAAAAAGGCACCACTTTGACCCTGAGGTCACAAGGTGTATTTTATCTATGCAGCCCTAGTCTCTAGCAAGACACTTCCTACACAGTAGTCAAACAGCAATATTAAAACTAAAGGGCATAATTACAGTTTACAGAGGGTTTTTTTATTATTATTATTACTGTCTTAGCATGCCTAGATGTTAATGGCCAAAGGAGAATCAATAGATTTTTGTATTATGGAAAACTTATTTACATCTTAATGAGAAACATTAATCTCTTACATCACTACCCCCATCCCCCAACTCACACCACCCCCCAAAGCCTAATGGCTAACTAAGACTTTAGTTCATGAAAGGTCTAAGAAGGAGATATTGGAAAGAGAAGCCCCTCTAAGTCATTAAATTATTAGGTTTCCACTTCTCCGGGCACATAAAAAAATAAGGTTTTTGTTAGCTCATCTAAACTCCCCACGTAAGCGCTAATAAAATTCTTCTTTGCCTCTTTCAGGGATTTAAAACTTGTGAACCAAAGCCAAATTCAGCTCAGAGATGTTTTATAAAACTCTGTATTGTTTTTCAAAATTCAAATTTTACAGAATGTCTCACATCTCATCCTGCCAGGGACCTCTCTCACCTTCGCCATCAAGTATATAGGACCTTAAACCACAGGTCCATTACTTGCCTGATCCCACCTTCATCGCCACCAGCATGTGGATTTTTTTATCCTTGAGTTAAATTGCGGTAGTTTAAAAATCATTTGATGTTCACAATAACCCTCAGAGCTGAATAGGGAGCTCCTCTTTTCACCCCTTTGAGGTTAAGAAAACTAGAGTTCAGAGAAGGAAGAGTTACTTTTTCTCATTTTCAATCTTTTTTTTCTTATTTTTTGGTCAGAGTGAGTCTAGCTTTTGGTTTTTGATATGACAGATGTGATAGCCACCAGTGACTGACTCCAAAGCAATGATGACCCCTAAAGTCCAGCTTCCTTAAGGAACTCTTTTAAAAATAATTCTCTTCTTCTTACTAAATTTTACATTGGTAGGTTTTCCTATCTCACGGAAACTCTAAAATATATTAGAACAGAATTATTTTACTGAAAATAAGTAGTATACTATATTGTATTAAATGATTTGAATTTCTTTATCTGCATATGTTAAAATCATATCTGTAGCAACCAATCATCTCAAATTGACTTTTATTGATTCATTGTCTGATAATTCCATTTGCCACTTCTTTAAAGCTTTTTTGGAGAAAATAATATAAAATAGTTTGTATTATGCCTGCTGAAGAGGCAGGCTGAGGGTAGGAGAGAACCTGGGGACATTGGTGGAAGGAAGGTGACACTGGTGGTGAGATTGGTGTTGCTATAAACAACTCTATAATGAACGACTTTGTAAGACACAGTGTCTTAATAAAAAAAAAGCTTTCTAAAGGAAAAAATATAGCAAAGTTCTTCTGCAAAAGAAAAAAATATTTTTGGAAAAGAAAATTTAAAAAAATAAAATTTAAATGATTAGTATATGCACATGTGCATTACATTGCCAGGAAGGGAGCACCAGACCTTGTACAAGAAAAGTGTACACTTGACCCTCTGCTACATTTCTAACTTCTTAAAGGACTGACTCTTAGCCTGGCCTCTAGGTATTTCTTGAGAATCTAGACAAAGGGTTCACTGCCCCTTGAAAATAGCACACAATGTTGGTGGGTATTTGTATGCTGAGGGGAAATATCTATAGTTTTCACCAGTCTCGGGGAAGGTATAACAACAGTATGAAGTGATTGCTTGAATCTCAGTCATTTCTTGAAAATATCTCTCACCACATGGCAGGGCTTTGGAGACTCCCTGTGGTATTACGGTTAATCCAGTAAAAGAACAATTATTCCTCTTGCAGGTAGTTCCCTGGGCTATTTCTGGAGCATGAAAAGGTAGCATTTACCATAGTGGGCTCTAGATGGTTCTTATGTCTGGGTTACATACAGGGAGGTCCATGACTGTCTCAATTTTCTGCCAACAACAACAGTAGCTCAGGAACAAAGGGAGAGGAATACAGCATCCTAGCAACACTTACTACCCCACCCCCAAAAATAATTTTTCTTAAAATATCCTGAAGATGGTGCTTGGAGAAGACAAATATCACACATGGAAATTGAAAGGCTTCAATCACTCAGAGCTCCATCCTCCTTGCTTTGTTAGAGCATCTCCTAGATTTTACCCATTCACCGAACTTAACAATCTGTATGATTGAAAGAAAAGGAATCATCTTTTCTCCATTTATCAAAAATACTCAGTTCCAAAGATAGAACCTAAAGTCTGTTTCACTAAAGCCTGAAGGTCTACTGGTGGAGTTTAATAATGGCCTACTACTATGCTTTTCCCCCCAAAAGTTCTGAGTTTTATGGATAATAAAATATTGAATCAAAGAAGTGACACGTTACCTGAAATTTTCCTATCCCATTGCAACAGTGGATAAAAATAAGACATATTTGTTGCTTTTGTGAGCACATATGGGCAGCCACAATGAAGGACAGGCAAATATAGATGTGCTAGTCTAATAGAGAATGGTAAAATTTTTTTACCAACGAAGAAGAAAGAGGGGGAGGAAGAGAAGGAGGAGTAGGAGAAGGAGGAAGAGAAGAAGAAGGAAGAGGAGGAGAAGAGGAGGAGAGGAGGAGCAGGAAGGGGAGAAAGGAGAGGAGGGGTGCTGGAGCAATATCACAGTGGGTAGGGCTTTTGCCTTGCACACGGCAGACTCGGGATTGATTCCCAGCATCGCATATGGTTCCCTGAACACTGCCAGGATAATTCCTGAGTACCCCTGTGCATCGTTGGATGTGACCCAAAAAGAAAAATATTTTCAAAAATAAAAGATGAGGAGAGGAGTAACAGGAGGAGGAGAAAGAGGAGAAGAAGGAGGAAGAGGAGGAAAAGGAGGAGGAGGAGAAAAATGAGGAGGAGAAAGAGGAGGAGGAGGAAGAGGAGGTGGAAGAGGAAAAGAGGAAAAGGAAAAAGGACAAGGATAAAAAGGAAGGAGAACTAGTTTTTTATAAAATATTAGCAAATTAAACTTTTAGTTAGTCCTATCAAGAAAATGGAGGACCCAAATAAATAAAATATAAATGAAAGAAGTGACATTGTAATTAAGAACTACATAATTATAGATTATAAGTGACTACTATAAAATTTGTATGCCAATGAATTAGATAACCAACAATAAATAAACTTAAAACATACAACGCATCAAGAGTGAATCATTAAGAAGCAGAAAATCTAAAGAAACCAGTTACCAGTTACCAAAATAGGATTTAATAATAAAAAATATTCCAACAACAAAAGAAAATATCCCAACCAGCAAAAGTTCAAGATAAGATGACTTCTTGTAGGAATAATACCAAACACTGAGAGAAGAATTAATATTAATGCTTCTCAAACTCTTCCAAAAATAGAAGAGAGAACATTCCAAACTCATTTTGTAAGGCCAGCATTATCCTAATACCAAAATAAATAAGGACACTGGAATAGAAGAAATTTAGAAACAAATGCACCTACGGAACACAGATGCAAATATTCTCCATATGATATCAACAACCATTAAAAGAAATTGACCTATAGGGATTTATTCCAGAGTTGCAAGAATGGTTCAAAATATGCAAATTAATACCACATTGAGAGGATTATACTAAACAAAAAGACAAATACTGCTTGGAATAACATATGTAGCATCTAAATAAAAAGTCAAAACATAGTACTGAAAGCAGAAAAGTGATTGCCAGGAGCTGGGGGATGGGAGAAATATGAAAAGGTTAGAAAAAGGGTACAAATTATGAGCTGTAAGATGCATAATGTCTGAGGAACTGGTGTAAACATGGTGACTATACTGTTAATCACTCTGAATAATTGAAAATTGCTTAGAGTAAAACTTCGGTGTTCTCACCAAAATAGAGTGACAGATGCATTAGTTAACTAGCTATCTTTGACTCTTTTCTTTGCTAGCACCTCACATTTAGCCTATAAGCAAATCCCACTGCTATCTCCAAACACAGAAGGAACCTGACTGCCCACAGTGTTCAGGTGCTATCGCTAGTGCAGTGCAGTGCTCAGGGGATTAAACCCTGTCCTCCCATATGCAAAAGTCACTTCAGCCCTGCCTGGACATCAATGTATCTTTTTTTCACTCATTTATCCAACAAATAGATTTTGAACACCAACTTTCTAGCTATCGGGTCCTATTCTAGGGGCTGGAAATAGGACAATGAACAAAACAGATTGAAACAAATTAATTCAGGGCTGGAGCGATAGTACAGTGGGTAGGGCATTTGCCTTGCACGTGGCCAACCCAAGTTCAATCCCCAGCATCCCTTATGGTCCCCCAAGCACCACCAGGAGTAATTTCTGAGAGCAGAGCCAGAAGTAATCCCTGAGCATTGCTGGGTGTGACCAAAAAAAAAATTAATTCTCCCCTTGCAAAATTTGTGCTAGTGTTGACCAGTAGAGAAATTTTCATTTATTTGTTGGCTGTCTTTTCTACTTGACTATGAGCGCCTTGAAAACATAGATTAAGAATATCTTGATCACAGCTATGTACTCCGTATTAAAAACTGAAACCCATGGTAGATGCCCAATAAATATTTATTAAATGAAAAAAACATGAA